TCAAATAACGGAAGGGCTAAGTGCCCACGCTAGATTATCGTGCAAATAATTTACATTTTCAAACAAAGAACGTTTCGACACATTGGTTTCGATTAATCAATATCAGTGTAAATTTATTAAATTAAAACTGAATTTAAATTATCAGAGAAAATTTTATATAAAAAATTACTATGTACGGCTGTAGTCGCGGATCATAAAGAGATTATAAAAATTTTTGCTGTTTTTTACATAATGGCCATAGTATTTAAACTTATAATTTCTCTTATTATAGTAATTTTTGATATAAAATTTTCTCCATGTAGTTTTCTATTAATTTTTTAAAATCATTAAAGTTATTAGCAAATATTCATAATTTGTTAAAACGAAAAAGTGTCCAAAAATGAAAAATGAAAGAGTGTCCAAAAAGCGTCACCTCATTTTTCATAACGTCTTCATATTCTTACTCATCAAGCCAGCCTTATTTTATCATTTTGTATTCACTGATGATTCAAAACAACTAGTGTCACTAGTTACGAAAAATGAAGTGACACTTCTTGGATACTTTTTAATAAACGTAATGTAATTAATACACACTGAAAACGTTGGTGCAGTCAATATGGTCTTAATTTTAATTAGCAACGGCATAGGAGTAGATGACTATAAAGAAATCAAATTAAAAAGACATGGATTTGCGTTCCATCCTCGAGATTGAAAAATCAGAAAATATAGACAACGATAAAAATTATATAACCAAAGAAATTGCGTTTGAGATCAATCTTAAATATGTATTAAGTAATATTAAATGTAAAATTTTTTAAAGGCGTTGCGTTGTGTAACTTCTAAATCGTTTATCGAAAAATTGTTTGTTTACCTTACACACTGAAGATGGCCTAAGCCCAAGGCCGAAACTTCTGTGGTTTTTCTACATGATGTAAATAATAATTGCGAGCATTAAATTCTAGCTTTTAGCTCTACCAGCTCGTGTAATAAAATTATGATTAATGTATTAATTTAAAGAGCTATATTTATTAAATAAATTTATGATAAATTTAAATGACTATTGCCGTTTCACAGTTGTACTTTTGGTTTTATTTTTAACTGAACTTAAATTTTTATTTTCTATACGGAAAGATAGTAAAAATATAATTTTAATAAAATAAATTAAGTTTTCAATAATACGATTAATTTTAATATATATTTAGCCAATAGGACACTCACGTAATTCACATATTCAAAATTTATCAACGCTTATTTTTTATTTTATAACATATTCTGTTCATATAATGTTATTATTATTATTATACTTTAATTTTTTTATTTATTTTATACTATTTCGGTTTTATGAAAATACTTTTTTAATGATTAATTTAATTTAGTTGGCAAAATACTTGAAAAATTTAAAAAAATTTATCATTAGGTATTCGAAAAATATTTAGTCAGATCGCACAAATAAAGCATGTAATTTTTCAAAAATAATTTTATAAACTTTGTTCTTAATTTACTTTAATATGTATTTTAACATCTTCTTTGAGTTATAGTAAAATTTATCGAATTTTTTTACAATGCAATCTCTCAGCTGGTTGAAGTTTGGAACGTTCCTGGAACGATTTTTTAAAAATAATTTGTCGCTCTTGTCCTTTTGCAAGGAGGAAGTTTTGAAACCCACAAACAAAGTACAAAAGAGACCGATCCGATACATGCGTCGGAAGACACCCTTATACCCGAAAACCCACCCCCAAAATCACTTAAACAATTCTAGCCAAGCTAAAAATGATTTGTCGCTCTTTTCCTTCTGCACGGAGAAAATTCCGAGGCCCTCACACGACATGCAAAAGAGACTGATTCGATACATGCGTCGGAAGACACCCTTATACTCGAAAAACCACCCTTAAAATTTCTTGTACAGAACATTTCTTGTACAAAACAATGATTAAATATTTCGCAATAGTCGAGTTTTTAAAAAAATCAACTTTTTGTGTTACTCCAGAGAAAAATGTTATTAATAGAATATGAAGAAGAAAATAACATATATAATTTTTACATTGCAAAGCTTTTTATTTATCAAGGAAATTATAATACTTCATTACATAAGCATAACATTGAATATTTATACACAAACACACGAAAAAGCGTACTTTTTCTTAATTAAATTGTATGCAAATGAAAGTTTTACTTTATTTTAATGCTACTTAAATTTATATAATGGCTACAATTTTTCTGTTAAAAAAAATTTTTTTATTTACTAGGGGCATACTAAATATTTTTCTATAGAATAATTAAATACAGTGTCTTTTTTACATACATATGTATTTTAAGTATAACAATTGTTATAACATGCCGTGTATTAACATCCACACTCAGTCTCTAATTATAATTACTTATAATTATACTAATTATTCTAAATTATTATGTGCAATTTTAGAAATGTGTTTAAAATACAATTAATTTCAAATTCGTTCAAACCGTTTTAATTTCTACAGTTATATTTTCACTTAATAATTAAAAGATGTGTCGTTATAATTTTAGTTTTTACAGATTTTGGATAGATGCAAACATTTGAGAAACCTTGTACGATTATCGAATTAAACTGATAAGCGTTAGTTTCTCATTGTGTTATTATTTAAACAAACAAATAAGAAATTATTAATTAAATAATCAACTGACATAATAAGCATTTGTCTTGAATATTTTTCAATTGTGTGAAGAAATCGTCTTACGTTTGTTACAGCATGCATTTCGTTAATAATAAATTAATTTTTTTATTATACTGAAAGAATTATCAATTCTATAAGTTAAGTATAATTGGAAAATTTAAATTGACATACTTGTATTTTACCAATAATTATTATTACATTAATATTATAGTTCGGAAACTTCTAATAATATAATAATTACTAAAGAGATAAATTTAAATTATCTAAAGTACAATAAATGTTCAGGCTACACATACCACTAAGATACACATAGAAATGTAAGAAATGAAACTTAAACTGAAATATTGGGTTGAATAAATTGTTGACAAACTTTGTCCCTGAACCGAAGAGTCGATTGTTCATAAAATTGTTATACTTTATAAAATTATAAGCGTAGTTTATAAATTTAAAACAGGTTAAACATAAGCAATATATAATATTTATATAATATATATATATATATATATATATATGTAATTTTAT